ATAGTATTTAAAGCATTTATGTAACTGTTGTTCGCACTCCAAAATGATGGATCAATTTTTAAAAAACCAGTGTTCAGATTAAATAGTTGTAAATTTGATGGTAACTTACTACCAGTTATTTCGTGGAAATAATTACCAATAAGATAAATATTAGTTCGTAATACTTTAAAAGACGCTAAAAGTATTGTACATTTGTGATTAAAACGTATCATTTAATTTATAATAATAAACAGGTAAAATATATTTAACATAATAAACAAATTGTGTGCTGCATTTATACGACACAAATTATGTCAGTTGTCGAAAATAACTCAAATATTCTTATCTTTAATAATAATATAATTGGTACTATCTTAAAGTAATTCAGTAAACCAAAATTGATATATTGATACGACAAAATGTAATAATACAATCAATTTTGTTAAATTTGTAATTAATCATTAATTAACTGTCCATAAAATAANTATACAATAATAATATAATTTAATTATTGCTAAAATATTTTTTTTAAAGTTATTATTATTTAAAAAAAAAATAAATTAAAAATTGTTAATAACAATTAAATTAAACTGTTAGGTTTGTAATTAATCATTAATTAACTGTCCATAAAATAATAAATCTAATATAATTATCGTACTTGGCATAAAAAATTAAACTTCTAGAATCTTTTTTTAAACGAATATGCGTTTTCCAAAAAATAAAATGAAAATAAATAATTAAAAATCAACAAAATCAGTTATAACGTATTTTAAGACTTTTACATGTTTTTTACTGTATGTAGTGTTTTTGTGGGCTATTTATTGAGAAAACAACATTGAAGTTATTATTTTTGAATTTCTTGTAAAATTTCCTTTACTTGAGTTTTACTTTTATTATTCTAAGTTAAGAGAAAAAAAAGTTATGAGACATAGATCAGTTATTTCTATTAAATTTGACTCTTCGACTCAACTTAATAGGCCCGGGGGCACGGGTTAACCTTAACGGATCGGTCCCAAATTTTGCACAGCTCATTTTTTTTACCATTAAAAAAAAATTAAGGGGTAGCGTAAAGAAAAAAAAGACATTCGATTTTTGAGGGCCACCCTAATATATATATATATATATATATATATAAATGTCCAAAGAAAGAGGTTTATAAATAGTATTTATCATAAAAATTTATATTGATCCATACATCGTACAAAAATTATAGCATTATAAAGTTAAAAATATAAAAACAAATTTTTATATGGAATGAAAGAGGTATATAAATATTATTCCTCATAAAAAAAATTGTATTGATCTATACATTTTTGAAAAGTTATATATAATAAAGTCAAAAATGTAAAATATAAAATCGAGAATTTTCACCATAAAGACAAAATGAAGTTCGAAATTTTGTTTTTCTATACTAAATTATATTACATAAGCTTTAATTTAAGATATATATAAACGTGTCAGTATTTCCGTGTATTAAACGTGTCAGGAACACTTTCAAAAGTTAAATTGAAAAAGTTGTCATTTTGAATCCCCCCCTGTAATTAAGTAAAGAGTCAGATTTATAAAAAAAATATACTAAATGATAGGTAAAGACATCATACATCTATAAAATTAGATAAATTATATTGATTTGGTAATTTTTGAAAAAGTTATGGCTGTTTTTAGAAAAAAAAATTGAAAAAATTAGATTTTTAAATTTGAATTTTTTTTTTGGAGATTTCCCCCATTTACGAGGAACGAACAAAATTTTTTCAATTTTTGAAGGTAATATATTCGACTAGATAAGATTTGTGATCTTGTGACTTATCGTTGAAAGATATCGGTTAGGTGAGAGCTGAGAAAATATGGTAACAGTTACAAAAAAAAATATAAAAAAAAAAACTCATCATAGTAAAGCCAATACCTTCTCAGTTTCGCATCGAAGCTAAAATATTCTTAATACTTATATATAAATATACATATATATTAAATTTGTCAAAAATACATTTTAATTTTTTGGAGATTTCCCCCATTTACGGTAAATTATGAAATTTTTGAGAGTAATGTCTTCGAATAGGTATGATTTGTGATCTTTTGACGTATCGTTGAAGAAATTGGTTTGGTGAGAGCTGAGAAAAAATGGTAACAGACAAAAAAAAAA